TGACCTGGAGATCACCTTCCAAAGGTCATAAGTGATATGTTTCGGTGAAATCACCAACAGGGACCTGTAATACTATGATCCTGAGCGTATTGAAGTCATAGGATGGCATTCAGAGTAAGTTGAAATTTCTCCCATTGACTTATAATGGGCCGGTCGCAAAAATGACCTGACCTTAGGTCATCGATATAAAAATTCCGAGATATACAAGTTGTAGCTCGTGATGACTTTACTATTTCCTGTGGGTTTCAAGATCATATCTCAACAACTGTGGGCTTGGTGGGATTGCAAACTTCGAAATTTACGTTTCGAGGTAGGGTCACTTGACCTGACCTGGTGACCTGACCATAGGTCACCTGGGGTCAAAATTTTTACTCAAGGTGTGCAAAAGTTGGGAGAACAGGTATGCAAAATTTGGCGGCGCTACGCGCCGCCGTTTTCTCGCGATTTGCGAAAAACCACAGGGGGGGTTGAAAACACCCCCCCCCTGCAGTGCGCGTGTTAAAGGTGGGATAGTCCCTTTAAGCGACTCCGCGTCCATTTTCCTCTCAATCAGTCTCAGTCTCAGCCAGCTTCGCCATGTGGCCACAACTAATTTTCTAATAAAAAAACTAAGAAAGCGAGAAAGATGCAGAAAAGCAATAGATCGGTTGCTAGCTTTAATGTCTCACAAAGGACATTTTCGATCAGGTCGTTGCTGCTGTAACTGTAGGTTACTTACTATGTGCAGGGTAAATGGCATGCTCTGATTAGCGACCCCGCTAAATTTGAATCCCGCTGTATCACAGCGTGTCCGTTCGTTTGTGCTGCGAAAGTCTTATTTTTGCTATCATTAGTATTTGAACATTTTCTACACGCACACTTACGTACTCTTAGTTACGTACAGCCCACCGCTAAAGTAATGTAGGGTTTTACCAATCTCAACGGTTAGCTTTGACTGGCGATTGTTTAATGCGGAGTGATCGAAAAGAAGATGTCAATAGCTAAAGTTGCAGCTGCACGGGTGACGATACATATAAGCTACATTCAAAGTTTCATTGTAGTCTGGCTAATCGTTCCTAAGCTTCAGAAGCAGAACATACCCATAACTGAAACCCCACATTACTTCTGCTGTGGACTGTACATACCTACTCACGTATCCTTCAACCTTCACCATAACGTCATGGAATTTGAGATCACGTAACCCCTTGCAAAAACGTAAATGGGTAAGATATCCCCGTGGCCGCGGTTTAACCCGCGCCCTGGTGGGGGACCATTTTTTGCCCCCCCCCCCCTCCATACCTACTTTTCGATATATCTCCAGAACCGCTGCGCCAATCGTCACCAAACTTTCAGTACCCTCCCGAGCATTAATTTTACACATTGTTACCAAAAAAAAAAAAAAATCAAAAGGATAGGTTGGCCGCAAATAACGTCAGAATGACGTCATGTTCTGCCGCTTTCGACCCCAAAAAAGGTTCTGCGGGAAGAGCTGTCAGGCCTATAGCTTTGAAGATACAGAAAAACGTTTAGCACATAAAAAGTGTAAAATTATCAGGACTACGAAACTGGCGTCTCGAAATCTCGATATTTTTTCCTTTTGACCTCAAAAAATGCCTAAATAATATAATTTTGATTGAAATATACCTACTTGTCAAAAACAAAACAAAAAGTGTTTTGATTTCCGAAAAAAAAACAGAATATATGTGATAGCACTTATCTACCTCTATTCAAAGACCAAATTTTAGATCGATACCTCTTTTTTGGCCAAGTTACATCGAAAAAACTGTTCAAATTAACGTCAAATTTTCAAACTCACTTTTCACAATTCTAGACCACGTAGCGCAAAATAAAGAACACCAATAGGTTCGGCGTGACGAGCTGCATCGAACTATTACCCATTTAACCCGCGCATGACGGGGGGAGGGCTGTACAGAGCCCCCTCCCGTTTTTCGGCAATATCTTTTAAACCATTTGACGAATCAGCACGAAACTTGCAGTACCCTCAGCAGCATTAATTTGACACCTTGTGTTAAAATTTCAACATTCTAGCTACAATAGTTTGGCCGGAACTGACGTCAGAGTGACGTCATGTCAGCCGATTCTGATGCAAAATATTAAAATACGGCAAACGCTCTCAAGAGCTTTTAATTTAAAGATAGATCCGATTCCTTTGCATCAGTGGACTACAAATACACGTAGCTATCAAACTGCTATCTCGAATTTTGAAAATTTTGAAAATTATGAAAAATATGTTTTACAACTACGAAAAAAATATTTTTTGATTTTTTCAAAAAACTTTTTGATTTTTCGCAAAAAGGAATATATGTGATAGACGACACACTGTTGAACTAGTCTACCAAATTTTAGCTAAATATCTTTAAAAATAGCCAAGTTATTTGCATTATTGTCAAAATTTTACAATAGGTATACCTATATTTTTTCAAAACCATTTTTTTTTAGTACGTCTCTGACATCCTAGAGTAATATAAATTGCACCATCGTGTTCCTGAGCTCAAACTGCATCTGATAGGCACCTTTTTTGTTAAAATATTTCATTTTCAAAATTTGACCTTTTCTGACCTGACAGTGACCTGACCTCCAGTAAATTGAGCTGAAAATGACCTCAAATGACACAGACAACATTATTTTCGAAATATTAGAGTAAAATTGACCATAAAACATGCGTCACGTTACCGATATATGATGTACAGGTTTCATGACCTAGGATGACCTGGCCTTGACCTGAAAAATTCGAAGTAAAACTTTGATACCCTCAGGGTATCTAAGGCATATGTCAAGGAACGCGTAAGCCAAAAATGAGCCTGATCGGACTTGTCAGCCGGCGGCCAGAGCCTAAATTGTGAACAAGCAAAACCGCCGATACTTTTTACTTTGACCTGACCTGTGACGTCATCGGTGACCTTGAGGTCAATGAAATTAGGTTTCGCTCGACAGTTTTTGCAGGGCTATCAGATGCTGTTTGAATTTTGACGATCGGCCCAGTAGTTTCGGAGATAGGAGGGGGGGACTCTGGAGCGCCCCCCCTCAGTCACCCGCGTTATGGAAAATACCCCAGTCATGCGCGGGTTAATGCAAAAAAATCAACTTTGAAATTTAACCTTTTTGACCTGACCTCCACCAAGGAAGTGACCTAAACCGTTCCTGATGGTCTTATGCCCAACGCCATTGAATTTGAAATGAAAAATTGTTCATAGAACATGCACCACACAGTTCTAGTAAAATTGGGATCATGTGCTGACCCTTGGTGACCTGACCTGATATTATCAGTGACCACTAATAGCAATATATGTATGGACTAGGCAACTGACGCCCTATCGCTGCTTTTCGATAAAATGTGTTTTACTCGATATTATAACGCATTCCCTAGAAGACCCGTGACCGGCAAAACTTTTCATCTTTGATCTGACCTGTGACGTCATCGGTGACCCCGAGGTCAATGAAATTTGATTTCCCGCGACAAACTTGACAGGGCTTTCGGACGCCGTTTGAATTTTTGCAGATTCGTCCAGTAGTTTCGGAGATACGAGGGGAGCAAAAATAGCCTCCCACCGCCAGGTCGCGTTATAAACAAACCCCACCAGCCACCAGGGCGCGGGTTAATAACCCGCGCCCCGCTGGGGGGGGGCAGAATCTGCCCCCTCCCGTTTTCGCCAATAACTTATAAACGCGTTTTGCCACCGACGTGAAACTTTCAGTACCTTATCATACATCAATTTGACACACTCCCTGAAAATTTGAGTGAAATCCGTCAGAAAAAGTTTGAGAAAATGACGTTTTAGTGACGTAATGTTCACCATTTTCGTCTCAAAAACGGCAAAATTTCAAACGCCGCTTACATCTTCATTTTTAAAGGAATCAAGACGTAACAAAAAAGGTTATACGTGATTTTAATTTGTCTATAAAATGGCTATCTCAGTTTTTTGAAAATGTTGGATTCTTGCCCAATTAAAAAAACTGATATTTTTGGAAAATAATTATAAACCCAAAATTTTGAGTGCATCGTTAAAACCGGAATACATGTCAGAGAAGTGGTCTATGTGCACCTACATACCAATTTTTAGAAGAATCGGTTCAAAAATGTGGGAGTTATTCAAAATTTTATGACGTCACGACACACAATTTTTTTTTTGAAAAATGATATTTTTGGAAGTTCTAGACCTCGGACGGTAACAACAATAGCACCATTCGATTCACCGTGAAAAACTGCAACAGATAGATGCCTTTTTAGGCCTTAACAACCAACTTCAAAATTTGACCTCACTTGACCTGACCTTGACCTGACCTCGACCTGAAATTCATTCAGAGGTGGTCCATATCACTTATTGAGTGAGCGTGCCTATTGAATTCTATGAATAAAATTACCCATAAAACATGTGTCGCACATGCCCTTTTCTATATTTTGTTTTTGGTGACCGTACCTGACCTGACTTTGACCTTGACCTTTGCATGGTATTGTATACAACGAATATTGTCTTGGTAGTCTAAGAACACGTTTTGGGCAATTAGTCTCAGTCCATTCTTCGGCAAATACGGTGCAAGGCCGATACTGTAGAAACTTGCATTTTGTACTCTTGACCTGACCTCTGACCTACTTAAGCAAAAAAGGGCTCTTAAGATTCGCCTTGTTGAGAGCTTTCGAGTGCCGTTTTCCCCGTCTTTCTACGACCATCGGTTCGGAAGTTAGACAGGGGGGGGCAGAATCCGCCTCCCCCCTACCCAGCAGGGCGCGTATGGCTGAAGTGAATAGCCCAGCGGGGCGCGGGTTAAGGGCGGGAACCAAAACAACAGAAGGATATTGCCGAAACCTTTTCCCACAAAAGCCTTGGTTTTAGTGGTAAATTGTCTCCCGTACAGAAGTGTCCGCTGTGCCGGCAGGAGGGATACCGTGTTACCCGTGTTCCGTGACCCGTGCAGCAGTGTCCGCTGTGCCGGCAGGAGTGATGCCGTGTTACCCGTGTTCCGTGACCCGTGCAGCAGTGTCCGCTGTGCCGGCAGGAGTGATGCCGTGCCCGCCGGCGGCCCTGCTGGCGGCGGCCCTGCCGTGCGCGCTGCTGTCCCCGGTCGGCGCGGCGGCCGACCCGCGGCCGCCGATCCCTGCCAACTCCACCTGGGAGGGCCGGCCGCAGTTCTGGCAGGTGGCGACCGTCGACTGGTCGCCGCCGGCGGACGCCATCTACGCGCGCCGGCCGGCCCGCGACGCCCACCACTGCGGCCACCTGTGCCTGCTGGACGGCTCCTGCGCCGCCGCCGACCTGGTGAACGGCTCGGAGGGCCTCACCTGTCGGCTGGCGGCGCGTCGCGGCGGCGGCAGCGGCGCCAATGCCTCGGCGGTGGCCGCGCTGGTCCGGCGCGGCCGCGCCCAGCTCGGGGAGCGCTGCCTCACCGATGGTGAGTGCTGGCAGGGTCTGGAGGGCGCCGGGTGTGTGGACGGCGTGTGCGCGTGCCCGGCGGAGGCGCTGACGGCGCGCGGTGACTGCGTCATCAGCGACTGCTCCGAGCTGACGGCGCTGGGCGTCACCACCAGCGGTCAGCACTGGGTGCGGGTGGCCGCCGGCGCCGCGCCCGTCGGCGTCTTCTGTAACATGGATAAGGACGGCGGCGGCTGGACCGTGTTCCAGCGGCGCCGGAACGACACCGAGCAGGTCGACTTCTACCGCTACTGGCACCACTACCGCGACGGCTTCGGCACCGTCACCGGCCAGTTCTGGCTGGGCAACGAGCTGATCCACCGTCTGACGGCGCGCGGGCCGCACCAGCTGCGCATCGACCTGTTCGACTTCGAGGGTAACCACCGCCTGGTGCGGTACAGCTCGTTCGCCGTGGCCGGCGAGGGCGACTGCTACCGACTCTCTGTGTCCGGCTTCTCGGGCGCCATCGGCGACTCGCTTGGCCGCCACAACGGCCAGTGCTTCTCCACCAAGGACAGGGACAACGACCGGTACGACACGGGGTCGTGCTCCCGCAGGTTCCGCGGCGGCTGGTGGTACCAGCGCTGCCACACGGCCAACCTGAACGGCTTCTACTGGCGAGGCACCTTCACCGAGTACGCCAGCGGCGTCTCGTGGTACCACTGGCTCGGCCACCAGTACTCGCTGAAAACAACCGCCATGCTGCTGAGGCCAGTCGACGCCGCATCCACTACTCGATGAAAAGGCACCGCCACCCGCGGCCACTACTCGGTGAAAAGGCACCGCCACCCGCGGCCACTTCTCGATGAAAAGGCACCGCCACCCGCGGCCACTTCTCGGTGAATAGGCACCGCCACCCACGGCCACTACTCGTTGAATAGGCACCGCCACCCGCGGCCACTACTCGATGAATATGTACCGCCACCCACGGCCACTACTCGGTGAAAAGGCACCGCCACCCGCGGCCACTACTCGTTGAATAGGCACCGCCGTCCGCGGCCACTACTCGTTGAATAGGCACCGCCACCCGCGGCCACCAGGTACTCGTTGAATAGACACCGCCACCCGCGGCCACTACTCGATGAATAGGCACCGCCACCCGCGGCCACTACTCGATGAATAGGCACCGCCACCCGCGGCCACTACTCGGTGAAAAGGCACCGCCACCCGCGGCCACTACTCGATGAAAAGGCACTGCCACCCGCGGCCACTACTCGATGAATATGTACCGCCACCCGCGGCCACTTCTCGGTGAATAGGCACTGCCATCCGCGGCCACTACTCGGTGAAAAGACACCGCCACCCGCGGCCACTACTCGTTGAATAGGCACCGCCACCCGCGGCCACTACTCCGGAATAGGCACCGCCACCCGCGGCCACTACTCCGGAATAGGCACCGCCACCCGCGGCCACTACTCGTTGAATAGGCACCGCCACCCGCGGCCACTACTCGGTGAATAGGCACCGCCACCCGCGGCCACTACTCGATGAAAAGGCACGGCCTCCCGCAGACGGATCGCGCAGGGGTGAGGCGAAACGCTTCCCCAGATCTCATACAGCAACGCCGACATCGCCAACAAACTTTCACACTTCTTTAGTGAAAGCATTGATGTAAACATTCCAGACAAAAGAGCTGGTACTAATGAACTGCTGTCTGGAAGTTTCGAAATTCGGATCGTGCAATCACAAAAATATATATTTGTCCTTAAAAGTTCAGTTTGTTCAGTTTACGGTTAATAGTAGACAAGGCGCGATAAGCGACCCCAACCAGTGGCGGATTACCACACCGAGCAGCATTACAAGAAGAAGTTACACGACATTTCTGTTCAGTATGCGTTGATAACACGCAAGTCATGAATGATGAAAAACTGTGCGTCAGAGGTGATCACGTTCCTTCACATTCATTTAGCGTAAATGTTGCATGACAAGGCCATTTTGTCGGCCAATTTCTCGCACTTCTGCCATTCGGAAGGCTGTTTTTTGTGAAACCTAGCGTAGTTTGACAATACTCCAGCTTTCATACGTTCTTAAAATCGAGCCATTACAAAATATATTCATTGTAAACGCCTGGAGAAAGCCTAAAAAGGGCATAAAGCGCTCATTCCATTGTCGTATTAAACTGCGGAAGTTTCATGTGAGGTGTTCAGTGTTCACCCAGAGAGTAACAAATAACAAAGCGAACAATGTATGCATGTCGAACTTTGAATGAGACATAGACACGCACAACATGAAGTCATTACAACCATTCACTGTGGGCACACGGGCCAAAGCTCGACGGAAGGGCCCAGCGCCGGTGGAGCGGCCGGAGAGCGCCCGCACAGCCCCTCTGTCACCTAAAACACCGCGGCATCGCCGGGGCTGGGTTCGATTCCCAGCACCGCACTGCGTGCCACACCGGCGCAGCACCCACAACGGCTCACCAGCTGCGCCCGCTAAAACGTCAGGGCGGCGCCAACACGAAACGGTACATACAGTGAACACCTAGCCAACAGGCCATGGAATATGTCAAGTGGTTCAACCATCAAATATAATACCGTGTATATCTGACATTTAGTTCCATCACCACGCACTCCAAACACCACCTACCGCCCGGCCAGCAGCACACTCACGCTCGGAGGGCGCCCGTCCCGGTCAGCGTTCACCCCAGGCGCCCCGCAGAGGCCACGCAGTGACCGGGGGCGCCGCCCCTCTCCGGAAGATAAAACACCGAGCGGACGCCAGCCACTCGGCGCCGCAGGAAGACGGACAGATCAGAGCGGGGCAGCCGGCCGACCCGCAGTAAAACACAGCCCCGAACACCGGCCCACGCCGTCAGCCCCCCATCCCCCATCCCCCACCCAGCACACAGTCGGACACAGGAAACTAGCCGGCACGTCTTCAGCACGTCTCCGCCGCACCCGCCGGCCCGGAGACCTCCAAAACGAGGCCGTACGGTCCTGGGCCGGCGGCACTTGGTCAGCCGCCCAGCGGCGATAGTAACAGATACTCACGGCTCGGTATAAAACGCCAGCATTGCACAACCGATCTGCGAGCTCCGCGCCGCTCGCCAACAGGTATCACCACGGACGGCACTGCGCCGGCAGATGACAGGCCGAGCCGCGCCAGCTGCCACCCCGGCTTTGGAGCTCATATCCGAGTGGCTGTGCCCACCTGGAATAACAGAAAACGTGGCAAAAATCACATGGTAAATTAAGTACGGATTCGAAACGTTGAAACACTCCAAAAGGCAATCACACAATTCATCATGCGAACTCTCCAATAATGCCGAAACATAGATAAAAAATGGGTAACAAAAAGGAGCGATGCCTTGTAAATGCGATCTGGATGCACGGCAAATACAAAAGTGATTCAAATTATGTCTACAGCTGCCCTAGCCACAGGGTGCCAAAATCAGCAACCCAAAACCCCAAACCAAACCACCACCTCCAAACAGCAAAGGTACAAGGTGCATCGTCCATCGGTGCGCGTTTCACTACAATAAGTCAGCGTCAGCGGCGAAAGTCCGTGACAGCAGCGGCGGACTGTGTTCGGACGGACCATACAGGACACCGTGCTATTAACCAATCACCGGAGCGCGTGACGCACGGCAAATTATGTTTCGTCCGTCAGGACCCATTAGAAAGCCTGGAGGACGTCAACGCAGTCATCGCACTGAGGAAATAATACACTAGGTTGGGCCGATTCGTGCACAGAGCCCACGATATGCGTGTTCAGAGTCAATGGCATACGCCGAGTCCGGCACTGCATCGCAACAAAGCACAGAGACGCGGTGAAATGTCAGTGCACACAGCCGAAAGGGTGTGCTTTGGATGCTAGCCCGTGACAGAAATACGAATACGGCAGCATGGCACGGCATGACAAACCACCAGGCGCCGCCACTAGAAACGAGGCGGTATGTCCACTAGCAGCTGTATTAGTCCGCATAGACCACAGTTAACGTCACACTTCATTACGGCGGCCTCCATCGACATCGAACACTGACAAGCCTACCGACACCGAACACCGACAAGCCTACCGACACCGAACACTGACAAGCCTACCGACATCGAACACTGACGCGCCAAAAATACGTCCAACACATTATCGCACGCAGCCCTATTAAACCACCCACGCATGCGAGTGCGTCGCAAATCGAGGTCGAAAATGGATATACCCCAGACAAAGGCAATGCTGTCTTCTCGATGAAAATATACAAACAGCTGACGGTTGCAACCATAAAGCCTCACACAGGAGTAAGGCGCTGGCATTTAACTAAAACATAATGGGCAAGCATAAAAATATTATCTTCGACACAAATGGAGCACAAATATTATGTGAGCCGCGCTTCAGTCCAGAGCTAAATAACTCCCCTAAACAGCATTTTGGATATTTCACGTTTGGTACGTTTGCAATCATGAAGTTAAGTGCCAGCAGTTTAGCCACAGACCGCTGCCTACGCCACCACGTTACAATAACGGTCGGCAGTTCGCGTCGGGCAGGGCCGAGTAACTGCAGCAGTGCTGATACAACGAGAATAAGGCGAGTTGACGGTCAGAAAACCCAGCAACCCTTTCAGACGAGGAAACAAGACGCACCCTTGTTCACCATCCACCTCGCGACATTCGCCAAACAAGTAACGACGCTAGTGTTTTCCTCGTCACTTAACGAGGTTACATGGTACGAAACTAGTTGCTTTACATTTCACCTGAGCTAAATGACACTGGTTGAATTAACAGAAAAGCCTGTAGTTATTATCGTAATTTTAGGGAATGTGCACACAGCATTGAGCGGGGAACCAAACGAGTTGGAAGCTGCACATCTTTTCGACCAGTGTTAATTTTACACAAAACACTGGGATTATTCCCCATCACATATCACATAAGAAGGCATACCTAACAAGAGTCACTCCATGTCGCAGTGTTAAAACTTTAAAGGCAAATATATCACAGCGGTGTCTATCATTCCCCAAAGGCAAGCGATCGGCGATACAGCAGCGCACAACAATGGACTTCCCTGTACGTAAATCGGCAGGCTTCACCGCACACATCTACCTTTCACATAGGCAAAAGCAATCTATCGATTATTTAGTGATGTCGAAAAGATGGAAATTTTCCTTCTTCTTTTTTAATTATAAAGCTTTTGAACAAATAAACTTTTTGGAATGTTCTATTGGAACAAGATCTTCTGAAGATTTCTCAAACAACGTAATACTCAAATAAAGCTGAGAAGCTGAGCTTCTCGAAAGAATTTCGATGACGTCTTTCTATCACGCATGACAAAACAGTGATTATAATTTTGTGGTAAAAAATAGAACCATTTTCACCCCATATAAACATTAAAAGCCTCCACCACCAACACATCACAGCTACCACCCCTCCCTCCACTCTGACAAGGCCCCCCGTTTCGAGATACAGCAAGTGTCGCTACCACTCCCACTACAGCACACACGGGACCGGAGCCGGTGCGACAGCCAGGCACTGAGTGGCAGCCTGCCGGGGACAGCAGCGCGCGGCCCCCGTGCCGAGCGTGCCGCCTCAGCCGGCGCGGAGGAGCGCGCACCGCCGCTCGCTCGGCGGCCGCTCTAACTCACGTTCTGCTTCCTCGTGCGCGGGTAGACGAGAAACAGCAGCAGCTGCAGGCCGCAGATGCACGTGCAGATGATGTTTGGCACCTGTAATGGAGAAAGGCGGTATGAGGCGGTGACAATGCAGGACGTCAGCTTCCCGTTCACGGTAATTCGCAAATACAAGTCCGACAAGTGAGGATAGCTGTGCAAGAATGAAACACTGTGCCACTGGGCTCACTTCACACTTGTATAGTAAATTTTATAGTACACTGGTGGAAAAAACATTACGGCAACAATTAGCTGCCCGACCCGAATTGGGATGCCGTAGTTGTACGACGCTGCCGTACCTGGACGAAGCTGTCTCCGATCATGGTGCCGTAGACGGCCCACTGCAGCATCACCAGGAAGGTAACGACCAGCAGCGGCAGCGGCAGCGACTCGGTCGACTTGCTGCGGATCACCTCCGCCTGGGGGCGGGGGGGGGGGGGGCGGAGGGGACGGCGGGGCTCAGTGAATCGGACACGGCCGAGGGGGACAGTCGTCAACGAACACGGGGGAGGAGGGGAGGCAACGGGGTCCAAACAGGGAAAAAACGAGGGGAATAGTCGGAAAACGGAAAAACGGGAGAGAACCATTTTCACGTCCATATCACGAT